AAATAAATAAGATCTTAAAAAAAAAAATAAAACCTAAAGCAAATCCTACTGCCATCTTGGTTAGAACCTACCAGGTGTTGCCGTTTGCAGTAGAAATTCCTTCCCAGGGCAAACGATGCGTTGCACAATCTGACTGCTCCCTGCCTTTTCAACATCCTCTCTTATGACTCTCCTCGTGTTCATGATACTCCAGCCCACTGGTCATTATTCTGCCTTTCAAATGCCACAATTGTTCCTGCCCTGGGGACTCGGCATTTGCTATCCCCTCTGCCCCAAATGCTCTTCCCCCAGATATTCCCATCGTTGATTCCTTTCCTTTCACTTGGAAAGGAACAAAAAGGAGAATGGTCTGGGATGATGCTGAGATAGAGTGGACACTGGCTTCACTCAATGTCTTTCTGGAAATCTTCCCTGATATTTCTGAGACACCTCAGCATGGACGAGTAAAAGTTGGAATTACTGATCGTGGTAGTGGTCACGGGAGGAGGTAAGTTGTGGGCTGAACCTTGACAGAGGATATTGTTTCAATAAGCAGAACTGGGGTAAACTCCATGCAGGAGGGGGCAGTACCCACTCGTTCTGCTTGGTCTTCAGTGTTTATTAGAGTACCAAGCAGAAAATACTCAGTATATAATTCTTGAGTGAACACACCAATAAACGAGCAAAGGAAATAGAAAACTCTAAATCTGTTTGTCAAGTTCTAGTGACAAGCCAGGCTGGAAAAGCAGCATTCAACCGAACTGGAGAGGACCTTAACAGCAACTACCGTTAAGTCCCATATCCCGTTGGCATATCCTGCCTAAATCCGAGCCCTCCATCCCTGCAGTCTAGCTGGTGAACTATCCCCAGAGGAATCTTCGAGAGAGACAAGATAGTACCAAGGGACTGAGGAATTGCCAAGGAGACAGTGTGTGGCAACGAGGTCCTCCTGGGGTGGGGCATTCTCAGAGTGCACTCGAACTTGGTCCTGCCTGAAGGAGAATCTGCTGCTGGTTCTCTGTTGGGCGGGCAG